GTCCCTCTAAATCATAATTCATATAACCCTACATCCCAAAACCCGAAACCCTAAGACCCAAACCCCAAACCCTAAACCAGTGTATGTAGAAGAACCCGTTTAAAGGCACCTTTGAAGGAGTAGACCTGTCGGATCGAAATTTGGGGTCAGGGGTTGGATGGCAGGGACGCAAGCTGTGATGAATCCTATTTGAGAGGAAAGTTGCAAGGCTTGGGGGTTTTGAAGTTTTGGGCGTTCTACTCGGAGACTTGAAAGATTTACCTGTGGCTCCAAAAGCCTTCCGGTTTGAGGGTCCTTGCCTTTACTGATTTGGGTTTGAGTGTAGGATTTAGGCTTGAGGGATTGGGGTTGGGTTTTTTGGCCTACTTGTCCAGCATTTGGGGAGCTAAAGGTTATCCGTTAGGCATATATCAAAATCATAAACCCCAAAACCGTAAGCTCAAAACCTTAAACCCTAAAGCTCAAGATCAAAACCACGATCCTTACCTAAACTCCAAATAACCCACGGCTTTAAGGATTTATATAAATAAAGAAATCATAATAAGAAACCCTAACAAGGTAGGTTCTTCGGGGTCCAGGTACACCCTAAGCCCTCAACCCTAAACCAAAACTTCCTCGAAGCAACAGCACACTAAAAGCCCACACCGACCTTCTTTTACTCGGTTCCCCGGTGTCCCCTTCACAATAATGGTACCAGTTACGGCTTAGGGCTTAGGGCTTAGGGCTTAGGGTTTAGGGTTTAGGGTTTAGAGTTTAGGGTTTAGGGCTATCCGAGTAATGGGTTTTGACAAGGGGGCCCTCAAATGCAAAGGGGAAAAAGGGCTCTACTGGAGAACCCAGACTCCTTCTTGCCAGGATTCGGCCGTCCTCTGTGTAGAGGAGGTTCCCCTTCAGGGTTTGAGGTTTAGGGTTTAGGGTTTAGGGTTGGTTTAGGATTTATGGCTTAGGCTTTGTAGTTAAGGGCTTAGGGCTGAGCGTTTAGGGTCTGGGGCTTAGTGTTTAGGGTTTTGGGCTTGGGGCCGACCGGGTTAAGCACCAGTTTAGGTTTCCTGCTGACAGGACAGAGCTTGGTTAGGGTTTCAGGGTTCAGGGTTCAGGGTTCAGGGTTTAGGGTTTAGGGTTTAGGGTTTAGGGCTTAGGGTTTAGGGTTCAGGGTTTGGAGTTTGGGGTTTAGGGTTTAGGGATCGCTCAAGAACTAAGCCTTTAAAGCAATGTCCCTGAGACCCATTCAGCCGAAGCCGCAGTATAGGAGCCGCAACCATAATCCTCAGAACGGGCTTTCGGGGTGTAGCAGAGCCTTGATAGAGACTTCATGTTTGCTTTCATGTCTAGGAGGGGGATTTCATTTCTGATCGTTCAGACCTCGCCGTTTCTGTTCACACGGACTCGACCTCACACACCAAACCCCAAACCCTCAGCCCTAAACCTGAAACCCGAAACCCTCGGCCCTAAACCCTAAACCCTCAACAGCAAAGCCTAACATAGGGAACTTGGGTCGTTGTTAGGGCTCTTCTTATGGATCTAAACCCTAAACCCTAAACCCTAAACCCTAAACCCTAAACCCTAAACCCTTCGGGTTATAGGAACAAGGCTTCCTCATATCAGATTTCTACATTACAAGGCACCGTTAAGGGTTTAGGGTTCAGGGTTTAGGGTTTAGGGCTTGGGGTTCAGGGTTCAGGGTTTAGGGTTTAGGGTTCAGGGTTTAGGGCTTAGAGTTTAGCGACGGCCCTGAATCCCTCTCCCGTCCCCGGTGCCATCGCGGACGGCAGCAGCAACTTGAGATCGAAGACCTCTAGCAGCCGGGCCTGTGCGCGTGGAGGTGCGCTGCAGGAGTTGGGGCCTTCGAGTTTGTTGCGGCTTGAAAAAATGCCAAGCCCTGAAGTGCTTCAATCCTTCGTGCCCTTTAAAGCTTGTAAAGGCGAAAGCCTAAGACCTAGAACCCCCACAAACCCAAGATCATAACACCATGAACTCCACAAGCGAAAGCAGGTTGTGGGTTGGGTTTAGGGTTTAGGGCTTAGGGTTCAGGGTTCAGGGTTCAGGGTTTAGGGTTTAGGTTCAGGAAGACCATAAACTCCTCAAAACCTCAACCCCATGACCCCAAACAGCTCCGAGCACACGCTAGGGTCCAGGGGGTTCAGTTTAGGGTTGAGGGTTGAGGGTTTAGCCCTAGGCTATAGGGTGAAGCTACCAAACTCAGATTTCGAATACCAGCAGGGGGAGATATAAAAACTGAAGGCATCTTATAGAGGTCCTCAAAAATTATAATCCTACTTCATCTCAGCCTCTAAACCGCGCCTGGCATCGGTCTTAAGTCCCTTTGTGACGTTTCCAAGAATATCGCCTGAGAGTCCGTATAATTATTGCTAAAATCTAATTCTACACACCCCGACTCTATTCTAATTATCAAGGCTCATATGGCACGTCTTTTGGACATTCAGCCTGCCTGAAAGAAGGCTCATATGGGAACTCCTTTTACTGTTGGCGGGACACTCTCCGCTGGACTTGGGGTTGCATGCTGGCCTTCGGCGGAGGTGGCGATGTTGGCACCTGAAGACTGAGATCCTATCTTGCAGGGCTTTGGGCTTAGGGTTTAGGGTTTAGGGTTTAGGGTTTAGGGTTTAGGGTGTAGGGCCAGGGCATATGGTGTTTAGGGTCTAGGATTCACCTGTAGCCCGAAGACGCACAAAATGGTAGGCTATGACCCTTTAGAACCCTTACAGCAGCAGGTTTGGGGATCACCATGCAGGGTTGAGGGTTTAGGGCTATCTTGGCCGGCAGAGACGGCCCACACACTGAATCTGACGGACCGGATTGAAGGTATAGTGTTTAGCTTAGGGGCTTCGTGTGAGCTTAGCTTGGGACGGTTGAACAAACTTAGGGATTCTCTGTGTTAGTTTTGGGCTTATGTTTGGGGTTCGAGTTTTGCGAAGATGGTCATGTAAAGCCGAAGCAAGAACTTCGTCTCTGACTATCCTGGATTATATATATATATATAGAAGCTAAGCATGTACCCCCTCCCAAACGCTAAACTACCTTGCTACTACTATCCCAAAACCAGGTATCCCCAGAGAAGACCCTACGACGGCCCGTAGCTGTGGATCCAGAAGATAGAACCCTCCATAGAGGTGTCCTACCCTCACATAGTTCAGCTGGAGCCTTGTGGTGGGTGTCCTTGTTCGTGTACACCCGCGCAACACAGCGGCCTAAATAAATACCAACACTATTTCGGTGATTCCTTATTACAACCCAAGCTGTAACACGAACCCAGTAGAATTCTAACTGAAGGGCTGGAAACGTCAAAGGTTACCTACTCAGGTTTAGGGTTTAGGGGTTTATGGTTTAGTATAGAGGTCCAAACAATTACGAGTACTATTTGGGGGTTTCCTTGTATAATTATAGTGTAGTGGGCCCCAAAACCCTATTCTAAGTTTTAAGGCCCATATATTATGTCTGTTGTTTTTCAGTGTCGGGGTTTAAAGTGTTTAGGGTTCAGGGC